TATTACTGTCATGTGTATCAAGTTACAACGAAAAGCGTTGCCTGTCGTGCTTTACAGGCAGATCAAGTGAGCCATCCAGTGCTCATTTCAGCAATGATCCATCTGCTGACAGAAGAGGGAAGGTGGATTTCAGCAGGACGTTTCCTTGCCCATGTTTGACCTTGTCCATGAGACATGATAGTGTCTGCAAGTCAACGACGATGACTCCCAGAACTTCCCCTAAACTACCCTGAATCCATTTCGCAACGGTGAGTATTCTGTATGAATACGATCTCAGACACCCAAGAAGCAGATAAGACAGCAGGCTGTGTGACAAATTTCATTTTGGGGGTTTTACTGTCCTGATCAAGCTCATTAAAACACATTATCCGCTCACTGTAACAGTTCTGTCTGTAGAACCTTGCTGTAGTCAGATTAGTGCTGTATTTCCTACATTACAGCAGTGGTGAAGCAATTGGCCATTTGAAATTTCAATTGAGATAAAACTAAGCACTTGGAAAAAGAAATTCCTTTCTGCAAAAGTCACGCTGTAAATGCAAGTTTTTTTTTTCACTCTTTAGAGACTTTGTCCGTTCCCTTTAGCTGTGATGTGCAACAATGAATTCCATTTTTAGCCTCAGTCCCCATTCACATTTTGGAAAAATAGCACATCAACCTGCATTGATTCCACCCCCTCTGTCCTCTCCACCTGATGTACTGTAATATGAAGCATCTCCAGCAATGCTGCAATGCCTTGAATTCTGATATTCTGAGGAGATCCTAACTGCTCCCATCGCCCACTGGATTATTGCAAGTTGTGGTTCAATGTCAGTGTGCATTCTGATGGGTCCCCATTTCTGTTTACTGAATGATATCTCCCATGTTGGGTTGTAGCTTGATGCAGTCAGGAGATTGAGTACGAGATGGAGGAGAGGAGAGGAGTTATTTGTGCTGGTGGGATTGACCACTGATTACTTGTGACAGCTTATCCATTGTGAGAGATTCTGCTTCTCTTCCTGTTTATCCCAAGCTGTTTTTTCTCCCCTTGCAATGTAAATAAAAGACTCTGTCATCTGTTGCACTGAGAATTGTTTTTATTCAGATGCCTGTCCAACTAGAATAAAAGTCCTCACTTTTTGCTTTGTGGCTGCCTGACAATAAATGTATGGAGTCCCATCAGCTTGTTCCAGAGTTCTGGGATGAATTTAGGAGTATAGGAGCAAGACGAGGCCATTTATCCTCTCAGGAATATTCTGTATCATTCAAATATATCATTGATGTACACTGCAACTTCATTTTCCTGCCTTTTGTCCAAACCCCTTGATACTTTACTTAACAAAAATCTATCACACCTGGTCCTTGATGCTTCAAGTTGTCTTAGCAACCACATAACCCTTTTGGATAGCCAATTCCAAATTTCTACTGACCCTTGTTTGACAAAGCGTTTCATGATGTCTCGATGCTAATTTGAAGATTCCGTCACTTTTCATCCTGATCCCTCTGCTGGAGTAAGTGGGTTTTGTTTTGGTGTATCAGAATGATCAATTCCTTTGAACATCTCAACCAGATCACCTTCATAACCTTGTAAAGTCAGTCGAGGTGTTTAACACTGGGAGATGCACACCACGGCAGCGTCTGCTTGTTCAATGTGGAGCGCTCTGTTTGTCTCCATGGTGACACATTCCATTTCCCGAAGTCCAGATGGTTGGCCTAAGCTGCAGCTTCAATTCTAGCCCAGTGCTCTCATGTATAAACGTGGGGGTTGAACCACTGCTATTCTTTCTTATTTGTTGCTTGGGTTATGAGCTGGCAATGTTAATTTTTGCCAGTCCCTAGCTGCCCTTGAGAAGGTGATGATGAGCTTTATCCTTGAACTGCTGCAGTCCATGTGCTGTATGGAAGACCAACAATGCCTTTAGGGAGGGAGTTTCAGGATTTTGACCCATTGACTGTGAGGGAATAGCGATATAATTCCAAATCAAGATGGTGACTGGCTTGGAGGGGAACTTGCAGATGGTGGTGTTCCTGCGTATCTGCTGTCCTTGTCCCTCTAGATGGAAACAGTCATGGGTTTGGAAGGTTCTATCAAAGAAGCCGTGGTGTGTTGTTGCAGTGCACCTTGTAGGTGGTACACACCACTGTCGCTGTGCATAGCTGGCAGAGGGAATGAATGTTTAAAATGGTGGGTGGAGTACCAATCAAGTGAATTGCTTTGTCCCAGGTGATAGCAGCAAATTATTGCAGATGCTGGAATCTGTACTGGAAATAACAAATGCTGGAGATCACAGCGGGTCAGGCAGTATCCGTGGAGAGAGAGCAAGCTAACGTTTCGAGTTTAGATGACTCTTCATCAGAGCCAAATGATGCTGAGATTCTTGAGTGTTGTTGAAGCTGCACATATCCAAGAAAGCAGGAAGTATTGCCTCACATTCCTGACATGTGTCTTCTGGATGATAAACAGAGACTAGGAGTTAGGAGATGAGCTACTTAACTCAGAACTCCCTGATTCTAAACTGCTTTGAATCTGATATCTAGGTTAATGCTGGGTACTGGGACCAATTTTATTACTGTCATCCTTTATGAGAATAGGCCAACGTTTAGTTGTTTATGAAGGCAATTTAGGAGGTCTGGAGTCCTATATAGGTGAGACCATCTAAGGATGGCAGATTTCCTTTCATCTGGGCCATTCAGGAACAAATTGGGTTTTCCTAATTTCAGGATATTCCAGAGTGCCTCACAATCAATGAAGTAATTTTTATAGCTGTGGTTACTTGGAATTTAGGAAATATACAGCCATTTTACACACAGCCAGCTTCCCAAATATAATGAGGTAATGACCAGGTCACTTGTTTTGTTTTATCAATGTTGATTGAGTGGAAAATATAGGTCAGGACATGAAGGATAACTCCTCAACTCTTCATTGAAAAAGTGTCATGAGATCTTTTGCATCTATCCAATGCCTCAATTCAGCATTTTACCTAAAAGGTAGCAAATTCAATAGTTCAAACTTCCCTCACGACTGCAATGAAGTGTTAGCCTTGTCATGTGCTGAATTTCCTGGGGTTAGGCCAAAGTGTTACTCATGGAGCCATAACCAGGTCTCCCTGCTCAACATTCTCTTTGGGTTGAATCCTGGGGCTCCTTCCATCGCAAAGAGGCAGCTTCCATTAAGAAGCCCACATTTCCTCCATTAACTGATTCTGAAACAGTTTAATAAATGGAATGTATGAGGGATGATTCCACAATTCTCCGCTCATGGAGCAGGGTCCCAGATCGATTTTCCAAAAGCGGGATTGCTGCTCACTGCTGGGATAGATACAGGTGTGGTTGGATGAGGCAACTCCCATTTAGTGTGAACTTATTCCTAGATAGTGCACTGATTACCACTCTGTTGGCATCAATTTGGAGTTTCGGTGTTACAGGCTGGCAAAAACCACCAGTGACTGCTGCAGAGCGTGTTATATCTGAAAAAGAAATGCTGTAGGGAGAAGCCTGGGAACTACAGATCTGAGTCTGACATCACTGGTGGATATGTTGTTGGGAGGGGTTCTGAGAGATAGGATTTACATGCATTTGGAAAGGCAAGAACTGATTAGGGATAGCCAGCATGGCTTTGTGCATGGGAAATCTTGTCTCATAAACTTGATTGAGTTTTTTGAGGACGTAACCATAAAGATCGATGAGGCCAGAGCAGTAGATGTTGTCTTTAGTAAAGGCTTTGACAAGGTTCCACACAGTAGACCGATGAGTAAAATTACATCACATGGGATTCAGGGAGAGTTTGCCAACTGGTTACAAAATTGGCTTAACAACAGGAGATAGAGGGTGGCAGTGGAGGGTTGTTTTTCAGACTGGAGGGATCAGTAGGGATCAGCGCTGGGTCCACTGTTTGTCATTTATAGAAACGATTTGGATGAGAATTTAGGAGGCATAGTTCGTACCTTTGCGGATGACACCAAAATTGGTGGGATAGTTGGCAGTGAGGAAGGTTATCTGAAATTACAAAGGGATTTTGATCAATTGGGCCAATTGGCTGAGGAGTAGTAGATGGAGTTCAATTTGGATAAATGTGAGGTATTGCATTTTAGCAAAATGAATAAGGGCAGGACTTAGATAACAAGGTGTAGAGCTGGATGAACACAGCAGGCCAAGCAGCAGGCCTAGACTCTAGGCCCGAAATGTCAGTCTTCCTGCTCCTATGATGTTGCTTGGCCTGCTGTGTTCATACAGCTCTACACCTTGTTATCTCAGATTGTCCAGCATCTGCAGTTCCTACTATCTCTGATATAAGGGCAGGACTAAAACAGGGCCTTGGGAGTGTTGTCGAACATAGAGACCTTGAGGTACATAGTCCTTTGAAATTTGTATTACAGGTAGATATAATGGTTAAAAAGGTGTTTGGCATGCTTGCCTTCATTGCTCAGACTTTTGAGTATAGATTTGGGATATTATGTGGAGGTTGTGCAGGACATTGGTGAGGCCTCTTTTTGAGTACTGCGTACAGCTCTCGTCACCCTGCTATAAGAAGGATATTATTAAATTGGAGAGGGTTCAGAAAAGATTTACTAGGATGTTGCCAGGGGTGAAGGGTTTGATCTGTAAGGATAGGCTGGGTAGGCTGGGAATTTTCTCACTAGCGCAGAAGAGATTGAGGGGCGATCTTGCAGAGCTTTATAAAATCATGAGGAGCACAGATAAGGTGAAGAGCTGAGCTCTTGTTCCTGTGGGTGTGGGGGAGTTCAAAACTGGAGGGCATGTTTTTAAGGTGAGAAGGGAAAGATTTCAAAGCATAGAATCGTGGTATGGTATCTGCTCACTTTTGGCTCGACTCCAGAAGCCCCACACGAAGAAGCCCATGAGAACGGGAGCAGGCCGGGTACAAATATGCCAACAGCACAGCAAAGTGCCACTGTGTCTTGTTCAGCCACAGAAAGCAAATCAGAAGATGTCCCATGGCATTTAAAACTGGCATTTTATTATCCGCGTACAAATGCAAAGAATGAGCCTTTTATAACCTGCAGGTGGAAATCGCTTGGAAGAAAGCCTTGGATACAAGAAAATTAAGATTCACAAGTTTCCAAAAAGCAGAAGCTGTTACCAAGGTTACAGTAAGACCCAAATTTATTTTACAATTGGTAGTTATTAAGGAGCTAACGTGCACTTATAATTATGGGTTCTCATTGTGCTTGTGGATAATGTTATTGGAGCTAGGGGAATTTCATAACTGTTAAATATTTTTTAAAGTGGAGGCTTTATTGCATTTGTGCGCACACTCGAAGCATCTTCACAAAGACATAATTCTTTCATTCAGTATGATCAAATGCTCTTCTTACAACACAAGATCTGTCTGAGAGACACATGGTCAAAACCGGGAGATGAATGAACAAAACACTTTCAAATAAATGGAAGGGATTATAGTTTGGTGTTTGCTTTACAGCAAGAGGCAAGACTAGATTAGTTTAGAAAAACAGACTGATATATCAATTTCCTTCGTGTTATAACTGGACTTCTCAATTGAACAATTTATTAGGCAAACAAAACTGGCATTTCTGTTGAATTGTTTGGATGTTATTTTATCAAACACATCAGTGTAATGGAAGCTGAGTCTCCACTTGAAGACTGGAACAGGACTGTCAAAATTCAGATAGACTGCTCAAGCCTAATGTTTACTCATTGGCATCAGAAACATATATCAACGGCAAACAAGCCCTCTCTCAGCCTGCGACTACGCAGACACATGCACACACAAAGAAACAGTTCTCAGTAGCCTCTGATCACATACGTCTGTGGTAGCAGGCCAGGAGGCGGGGTGGGGGGGGGGCACTTGAACCCAGGCCTCCTGGTTCAGAGGTAGGGACATTACCACTGTGCCACAAGAGCCCTCAGATACCAGCCCACGTAAGTCCACAATTAAAAGGCACCATCTGAATTACAATTAATAATTAATACACAATTAGCAAGAATTTTTTGTTGACAAGGGGAGAAGTTACTGAACTCAGAAGTTGCTAGGGCTGGATTTGGGAGAGTCTTGATGTCTGCAGTCTTGTTGAGTGCTTTTAGCAGTCATTATGGGGATGGGACTGAAGCGAAGGTGCGCAGGGCAATGCTGAGTGAGGGATTCTCCACAGGGCATTGCAGAAGCACAAGTTAATGGGTACATGGGTTCAAATCCCACATTGGCAGTGTCACATGTCAAAGAATCATACAGCATGGATACAGGTTCTTCAGCCCAACTCGCCCATGCCAACCAAGTTCCCTAAACTGAGCTAGTCCCATTTGCCTGCGTTGGCCCATATCCCTCTAAACATTTCCTACACATGTACCTGTCCAAATGTTGTCATTGTACTCATCGCTACCACTTCCTCTGGCAGCTTGTTCCACATAAGCACCACCCTCTATATGAAAAAGTTACCCCTCAGGTCCCTTTTAAATCCCCCTCACCTTAAACCTATATCCTCTAGTTTTTTTTTCTATTCATTTGTGGGATGTGTGCATCATTGGCTGGCCAGCATTTATTGCCCATCCCTACTTGGCCTTGAGAAGAAGGTGGTGAGCTGCCTTCTTGAACTGATGCATTTCTTCTGCTGTGGGTTGACCCACAATGCCCTTAGGGAGGGAGTTCCAGGATCTTGACCCAGCGACAGTGAAGGAATGGCGATATATTTCCAAGTCAGGATGGTGAGTGACTTGGAGGGGAACTTGGAGGTGTTGGTGTTCCCATATATCGCTGTCCTTGTCCTTCTAGATGGAAGTGGTTGTGGGTTTGGAAGGTGCTGTCTGAGGATCTTTGGTGAATTTCTGCAGTGCATTTTGTAGATAGTACACACTGCTGTTACTGATCGTCGGTGGTGGAGGGAGTGGATGCTTGTGGTACCAATCAAGCGGGCTGCTGTGTCCTGGATGATGTCGAGCTTCTTGAGTGTTGTTGAGGCTGTACCCATCCAGACAAGTGGGGAGTATTCCATCACACTCCTGACTTGTGCCTTGTAGATGGTGGACAGGCTTCGGGGAGTTCTGACTCCCCTATTGTGGGAAAAAAAACTTTGGCACCCTAACCCTGCCCTTCACGATTTTATAAACCTCTTTAAGGTCACCCCTCAACCTCTCACGTTTCAGGGAAAATAGCCCCAGTCTATTCGGCCTCTCCCTGTAGCTCAAACCCTCCGACCCTGGCATTATCCTTGTATATCTTTTCTGAACCCTTTCAAGTTTAGCAACATCTTTCCTTTATTAGGGAGACCAGGACTGTGCACTGTACTCCAAATATGGCCTAACCAATGTATAATACAGCCATTACATGATGTTCCAGCTCCTGTACTCTATACGCTGACTCAGTATGAAGGCAAGTGTGCCAAACAGCTTCTTCACCACCAAGTTTATCTGCGATGCCACCTTCAAAGAACTATGTACCTGAACCCCGAGATCGCTCTGTTTGAAAACACTCCCCAGGGCCCTATCATTAAGTGTGTGAGTCCTGCCCTGGTTTGTCTTACCAAAACACAACACCTCACATTTATTAGCGTTAAACATCATCTGCCATTCCTCAGTCCACCGGCCCAGTTGATCAAGATCCCATTGTACTCTGAGATAACCTTTTTACTGTCCACTGTAACAACAATGTTGGAGTCATCTGCAAACTTACTAACGTACCTCCTATAATCACATCCAAATTGTTTTTTAACATGGCAAACGACAGCAGACCCAGCACCGGTCCTTATGGCACACCGTTGGTCGCAGGCCTCCAGTCTGAACTCCACTGGGTCAAATTTAAATCCCATCTGAAATATAAAGCTATATTCAGTAAGGTTGACCATAGCAGCTATCACTGATTGTTGCAAAAATCTATCTGGTTCCCTGTGTCCTTTAGAGAAGGTGCGAGTCTGCCCTGTGTGTGAGCCACTGCGATGTGCAGGATTGTCTTCACTGCCCTCAGAAATGGCCTAGTTCGCCAAACAGTTCAAGGCCAATGAGCCAGTGAAATCTTCATCCCATGGAATTATTTAAAACAAAAAATCCTTCTGGGAGAATGGAGAGAAAGTAGGAGTGGGGCACTGAAATTGCATGTTCAGCCATGATTGTACTGAAGTGCAGGCTCAAAGGGCTTACCTCTTCTCTATGTTTCGAGAATAGAGTCCCTAAGTGCAGAAAGAGGACATTCAACCTATTGAGTCTGTATCGACCCTCCAAAGAGCATTCCAGTGAAACCCAGCCCCTCCTACCCTATCCCTGTAAACCCACATTTCCCATGGCCAGCCCACCTATCTTGCACATCTCTGGATTGGGGGAGGAAACCAGAGCACCCGGAGGAAACTCACGCAGACACGGGGAGAATGTGCCGACTCCCCACAGACACTCACCTGAATTGAGCCAGGATCCCTGGCACTGTGAGGCAGCAGTGCTAACCACTGAGCCACCGCACAGATGCACGTAGATTATTTTGAAACACAGCATGGATAGTCCCACATTGCAAAAGGAAAATGGCACTGGACTGGAGCCTCTCTTGGATATTGCAAGCCTCCTGCTGGCAATGATCCAATCATTAATCCTCATATTTGAACTGGCATTTCCGTGACTTTGATCCCGCCCTAAATTAGGAACTCTTGAGGCGATCTTGAAGAGAGGATGGGTGCTGGAGAAGTTGCAAGGGATGAAATCTGCAGCTGTGTAAAGGGGCAACGACAGCATTGGATGGCACACACAGCCTCATTGACGAGGAATGGGGCGGCATCTCATAGAAACATATGAAATCCTGATGGGACTGGATAGGCCAGAAGCAGGAAGAATGTTCCTAATGATGGGCAAGTCCAGAACGAGGGGTCACAGTCCAAGAATAAGGGGTAAGCCATTCAGGACTGAGATGAGGAAGGATTTCTTCACTCAGAGAGTTGTGAACCTGTGGAAATCACTATCCCAGACAGCTGTTGGGACCAGTCGTTAGATATATTCAAGAAGGAGCTGTATGTGGTCCTTGTGACTAAAGGGATCAAAAGATATGGAGAGAAAACGATGGTGGGATACTGAGATTGCATGATCAGCCATGATCACATTGAATGGTGGTGTGGGCTAGAAGGGCCAAATGGCCTACTTCTGCACTGATTTTCTATGAATGCACATTAAAAAAAACAGGAACATCTTTCCAGAACTACATGCCCTCTTGGAGAAATGAGGATCAATGAGTTTCTTGAGGCAATGGAGGTGACAAAAGGGATATTGTAACGATTACAGCACTGCTTTCGTTGCAATGGCCTGAATTCTTTCGAAGCTATTTCTGTCTTCTTGCGTGGTTTGAGGGTTTCAGCTAAAGGCAGTCACTCTTGTCTTGATAAGTGCCTGATCTATTTCGGATTACCCTGAAGGATAAAGGATTTCAAATGCTTTAACAGACGAAGCCAGGTGTTCTATGCTGCCACTATGCTGAGGCAACACGAGTGCGGTACCCCACTGCATCAAGCCGAAAAATCATTCTATCTCCTTCACAAATTAGTAATGTGGTATATGAATTTCAGTGCCAATGTGATGCCAGGTAGTTAAGCCGTGTGTGAAATGATGGACAGATCACATCAAATAGCATAACCCTTTGGCTGTTCACAACACGCAGGGGACTGACTGATATGGGCTGATAGGGATATGGGACAAATGCTGGCATATGGGACTAGATTTATATAAGATATCTGGGGTCAGCATGGACGAGTTGGAAGGAAGGATCTGTTTCCTTGCTGTACAACTCTATGACTGTACCATAACAAACTGTGCTTGCAAGTCCCATAATACAGTGTTCAACATTAGCTATGACTCTGCAATAGGACAACATTTGCTGGATAATCCTGAGAGTGCAAGGCTGATTCTGACAACCAATTAAGATTGTTCATTGGGCTTGTGGTGTGGTGCACTTGCACGTACTATAAGCTATGTAAATAATACATAGTGCCATGTTCTCTGCAGACGGAAAGAACATTAGCACACTCTGTGCTTGTTCCACCTCAACAAAACAGCCATTTGTTGGTTCATTTCTCAGGGCAATACCTGACCAGTTAGAGTCCATAAGACCAGAAGACCATAAGACATAGGAGCAGAAATTAGGCCATTCAGACCATCAAGTCTGCTCTGC